AATTGATCATCACCCTGGCATCTTTTGAAAAGCTCATTGATCGTGTCATTCAGCTCTTTCAGCTCTTGACGATACACTACATAACAAATCACCTTGAATATTAATGTTTTTTCAATTTGTTCAGTACGAATTTTGAGCGCTGAAAAGCAGACAATACCTTCATGATGCCATTCAAATAACTCAAACAACTGCTCATCCCCTTCATCGCACGATTCAAGATGTGGAGATTCACATAAGTGAAGTTCATGGCTCCACTGGAAATACCGAGGAGCATGAGGACGACGAAATATTGAAGCAATCGGTAGAAGATGTTGACTCTTTCAAAAGGCCAAACTCCACTTATTATTGATATCCATTTCACACTCTCCGCGTATGATTGGTAACTCTTCAGTAGATCTTTCCCCATTCTGATGAACTCCAGACTATCAATGCCCATTCCATTCTAGTCCGCTGTCTATCGCTGAATCAGACCTTACTGAATTAGAAATGAAGTCAATTTGCAATTGGTAATCCATCAAAAATTGAATGAATGTCGATTTTGAGAAGTGGCTCTGGTAGAATTGGCCAGGTAATTGGAAGATTGGACATGCAGTTAATTATGACTTATAGTCGTTCTCGGTAGTCTATGGATTGGGGGTATCAGTATCGAATATGAAAACCTCACGACTGGTATTGATCTTGAGTCTTCCAAAATCGAATGATAATACGAATTGGGAATGCAGACGAACTCATCATCACCTGATCAGAAACTCATGGAGTGATTGACTGATTGATTCGTTACAAATGATACGAGGGGAATGCATGCGACTAAAAAATCTGTAAATGAATTGGGAGAGTCAGGAGTTGGTAATGAGTGATTAGTATTGAACCTAGATACAAGGAAAACTGAATAATCCTATCATAGAGCAATCAACATGTTCGACTGTGAATCATCACGAATTGGGTACTATGAAGCTTTCTGGTCAAATGTCTGCAGCAAGAAGAAATAAGACAGAGCTGTGTTCAATGTCTGCAACAAAAAATTCATGTACATCATTGATCTATCTCTCGAGGAAAATTGTAGCATACCATGAGGAACATGTCTAATGAAATATAAACACAACTGACGGCGACAAGGATGAGAGGTTTCTGCGTCAAGATTATTAAAATTGACGTTCTCACTCGTTGATATTCTTTTTTCTGCCAATTGCAGGAGTAAGCGGCTTGTGTCAACGCTTCACTCTGCTCAGATCAATTGTGCTCGTTAATGGATATTGATCATTGATTTATCAACTCACCTCAGCTGTCAGACTAGATCCAGCCCAACTGTAAATGTAAGTTTGAATTATTTTCGTTCCAGTGTACCCGAAAGTCAGTGCATATCTTCCAAGGGTGACACTCGTCATCTGGAGAATAGCAAAAAGAATTAGTGAATTATCAGTGAAGATGCAGAAGAAGGAGAGGAACTTACACTCATTATTTGGAATAATACCATGCAGATAATCATTGAGTTACTGATCACCTGCCACAAAATAATCGGTCCGTAAGTTGTTTGCAACATATGACTGCACCTTTTGAGCATTACACATCTCTTAACCCATTGACGAATAACATCATGAGGATTGTCTTCAACTGTTAAATTGCTAATTCGATAGCCCAGAACTTTGAACTGTCCGATAATGCTAAAAATGTAGAATTCAAAAAGTCCATCGACTGCGATAGTTACGAAACCTAGAGTTACCACATTGTACGATTCATATATAAATGTCAACAGGTAGATTAATCCTCCATCACTCGTGGTCCAAGGATACGTAGCAGGTGATGGCAGTATGTACTCCAGGGGCTTGACTTTTTTTTTTATTTGTACAATAAAAAAAATTAATGGACCGGCGATGCAAAAACCACAGCCGAATAATACACAGATGCAAAGTATCGTCATTAAACGTTGAAAGGTGGCGAATTTTTCCAGCACAAGGTATCTCTGATGGTGATCAGCCAATGATTCCTTTAGAAAGGCCTCGAGGATCGCATGCAACTCGATCAATTTCACTCTGTGTAACCGAAAAAATCCAACCTGGAGAAAATGAGACATTAATATCACTCTATGAAAATTCATTAACACGCCAAGTGGATAGATGAATTAATTGAATTAATTATGAAGCGATCTCTGTACCTTCACAAGTACTGAACAAAAGCTGAGTCCCATACTGAATCCTCCCGTCATTAATCCAATATTTGTGATATGAGCCACAACAAATCGAAATTCCTGAATGCATATGTATAGGTTGGAGAAAAAAATTAAAAAGGGTAATGCTCGGTAGAAGAAATGAGGATCCTGGAGTGGCCAGGATCCACTAACATACGCCCAATATTTCAGGTTGCGCCTGAAACGTTGGAACTCCTTGAGTCTTATTTTCTCCCTCTCTGGATTTCCAACACTTATGTCCATATTCACAAATTATTTCAATTCATGGAAATGAAAAAGTGTATTCTCTGCTTTGAACAGTTTGTACTTGTTCTCAGATGAGCTATCTTCGTAATTCTTTCTGGTATTCGTAGCAGCTACTCATTAGGGAATAAGTGAATAATGAATGGTTGTCGTCGGCTGTTATTGCCAACGATGTAATTTCATCGATTGCTTAACCTACGTATGTATTATCATGATGTCCCCAGGTTCGTTTACTCCCTTTTGAAGACTTGTGATCAGTTCCTCATCAGCTGTGACTAATCTGTTTTTCAGTTTTTACTTATTACGAGAATAAATATGTCAAGCTATAAGATAATCTTTTCGAATTTTATTTTCTTCCTCATATTAGTTTATCACATTGAACATTTTAATTATTTTGATAATTGTTAATATTCCTTGAGAGTAGCCGCAGTGATGAACGCATGAATAATTGATCAGGGGATTATTGTTCATCATCTAGCGCTTGTAATAAGAAAAAATATGAGAGTGTTGTATTTAGAATCTGAAAACCGCAGAATCATTCGTTATCTTCAAATGAAATGTGAGATAATTCATATTCATAACATACTCCTGTGAAGAGATTCATGGAAATGAAGGTGTAGCTGCAGGCCTTCAAGCGAATTGGTCGCTGCATCAGGATGATTTTCACGTGATGCCCAGCTGATTTTAGTCCAAGATTTTCCCAACCAGTTGCGTACACTTCATTCCGAAAATTATCGCACTGCAATGAAGAGAGAATTCATCAGCGCCAATTAAAAATCTGGTAGATCCACTCACCTCTGTTGTAATGAGAGTTCCTGCCCACGCATATATCAAGGTCTGCAATAATTTAACACTAATGTACACGACGAAAAACATAACTTGCTTCACAGATACAGTCTTCATCTGAAAATAATAAATAATGATAATTGAATTTTGATGGGAAGAATTCATTGGCGAGAGTTCGCATCGAGAGGTCACCTGACTGATTTGAAAAATCAGACAGCACAGAATAATAGCAGTTATGACCATCATTGTGAGGACAATGGGTCCGTGTATTGCTTGTAGTAATTGACAACATCGTATTAGCTTTCGATGTACCTCGATCAATCCCTGAAGATGTTTCTCATACCCAACCTTGAACGTAAAGCGTTTCATCTCATAAGTCAGTGCTCGTAGTTGACCAATTATTTGGGAAGAGTACAAGGCAAAAATGTTGTCGATGCTAGCTGTTGTTGAAAATAAACACAAGCATCCGTAACTTTCAATTGCATAATGAAGAGCATAAAGAGCACTTCCACCTAGAATTTTATACGGATAAACAGCGGGATAAGGCAAGAGGTACCGAATCGGTTTAACACCGTGACTGTATTGATTAATCATTATCATCAAAGGAGTGATGAAGTACATTCCAACGACGATTGAGGCGGACCACATGAGCAGCATGGATAGGACTTTGAAAAACCTCAGAGAAGATAAAGTACGGGACAGTAATTGCTCGTCTCCTTGTTGTCTTCTCAGGAGTTCATTAATCGTGTCATTCAACTCTATGAGCTTTTCGCGGTGCACTAGATAACAAATCACCTGAAATGCTTTGCAATATCTTCGATCTGAATATGATAAACTGAAATGCAGACAATACCTTCATGATGGCATTCAGGTAGCTCAAGGAGATGCTCATGCCCTTCATCACACGATTCATGTTGTGGATGTTGACGTACGCAAAGTTCATGGTGGCACAGGAAATGGTGAGGAGCACGGATATGATGAAGTATGGAAGAGATTTGTAGAATATGTTCGGTTTCTCTGAGGGCCATATTCCACTTATTATTGATATACGTTTAACATTTTTAGCGTATGACGTGTAACTCTTCAGGAGATCTTTCCCCATAACTCTAGACTGTTGGCTATCCACTTGTGACGTGAGTTCGCTGTGTCGTTCATGAATCAGATCTTATTGAATTAGTAATGAAGATCGTTTACCGTAATCGATTGAAAATTGACTGTACTCGATTTCCAGAAATGAATTTGGGAGGATTGTACGGAATAATTGGAAAATCAGTCGTGCATGGAGTTAATTGTCTCTTATAGTCTTTTGTATTTTATGGATTGGAGTTGATAGACTCACATGTAGATCTAAAGTTCGCGCGAGGTGTGCGGCGCAGAGTAAGAGCTTGAAAATGATGATCCAATCGGGAAACAATAAATTTAAGAAAACAAGAGGTCTTTTCTACTTCTCTCAAGTGCAGACAATTGAAGACAGAAAATGTATTTATTTTCTTATGTTCAGTATTGCCCCTCCATCACTCCACCTGGTCAAACGATTGCAGCAAAAAAAAATACGAGAATGAAGCAGTAATCACCTGAAACACAAGCTAATTGTAAGCGAAATAATTTTGTCATTTCGACGAATCAACGTTACCGATGAAGCCATGGGGATGGATATGACGAAAAATCCATAAACATTTATCGCGATGGGCTTCTGCTGCAGGACATGTGCGACATTACTCATGAATTTTCTGTTGTAAAAATCCGGCCACTTGCAGGAATAAATCGTTGTGCTAAAGTTTTCACTCTGAAATCGAAAAGGGTGATAAAATCTCGACATGAAAATGATCTTAAAAAATCTGTTCACCTCGGAAATCAAAGTGGAGCCATACCACCCATAAATCACGATCTGAAGAAACTTGAGGAAAATCCAAGAAGAATACATGAGCATCTTGCTCATGTCAAAATCTGCAATCTATCAACTAGTTGATCCATTTAGATTCAATTCATCTGTACAAACCTCATGTATTTGATAGATAACAGCGCAGAGGACAACAGCATCTGTCAGCCTCTGAGAAAGAATCATGAGTCCATAGATCGGCTCCAACCGGTGGCCAAAGTCCATCAGCTGAGAGTGCTGATCAATGCACTCACGCAGTGTAACGAAGAGCTCTTCATTAGCTTCAGCCCTCAGCACCCGATTCGACATGATATTCAGAATAGCAGACATTTGGAAAACAATTAATCCGAAGTAGCAATCAGCACCGAGAGAGATTGATGCACCCACGACGACATTGACAGCCTCGAGAAAGAATACACCAGCAAAAATAATCGGATCATTGGTGAAACACTCAGGATAGGAACCTGGATAGGGTAATATCAGTACAACCGGACGTTTGTTAGCTACTAGCTGATAAGTAATGAAACCAAGTGGAATAATTATGTAATTGAGCATCAGCATCCGGAGACAGGTCATCAAGAACTTCATCGATGCACTGAACATCTTGAGTGTTTTCCTTTTCAGAGTTATCGTTGCTTTGTCATCGCAATAAAATCGCAAATCCTTGTTCAATCGTTCGTAGATTTCGATGAATGTCCTCTGATTGGTGACTGTTGGAATCAGCTGAAATCAGAATGTTGAGGGAAATCTTCGAGGGATTAATCCAGATGCAATTGTCGTGCCTGTCTTCTTGATCATTGATGAGAATTGATAATTCGTTTTTTACCTTGAATATGAGAGCGATCAGGGCGATTATTGGCACTAGACACTCCGTCATTGTGCTCATATCTGGAGAACTTAAGGCTTTCAGAAATATCGCGTAACTCACAGCTGTCCCGAAGATTGAGGTGTAGCACGTTAGGAATGATTTCATCAGACGGCGATGCCCGTTTGTACACCATATTGGAGAGTACTGGAGCAAGCTTTTTACTATTTTATCACAAGTGTTGTATTCCTCCAGAACGAAATCGCACATCCTGGAGGGTCTTTTCATACTGCAATTTATTTCGTCGTTAGTAGTCTGTAGAGTCGTTAATAGTCATTTAAGCCATCAAATTTTTTTCAGACTCTAAAGACCCGAGATTGGGCTGATAAGTAAATTACCGTAAGTTATTCATTCAATGTTAGGCAGAAATCGATAGTCTCGTTTCGCTGTTGCGAATCCAGAAAAATTATCGGTTTCATCATAGCGCAGTCGTTCTTCGTCGCTTGAAGCGGACATTTGTCTCCATTTTGTTTTATTTCATTAGCTTATTACTAGGAAAATTTTTTATTTCGTCTATTTCAATTTCTATGTATTTTTATGGATAATAAACTATTGTAAATATTTATTGAAGTGTCATTGGATTTCGGTGTCAGGGAAATGCGCGGTGGAAATAGAATTGGGGGATTCCCACATCCGATCAAAATAAATTTCAAGACAACAACTTGTTTTTACTTTTTCGAGTGCAGGCGATTGGGGACAATCGACAATTATCGTTTACATAAAGAGCTCTAATTAAATACAGGATTGGGATAACATGATAACTAGTCCATTTGATCGAACAACTGCAGTAAGAAAAAATATGAAATTGATGCTGTGATAACCTAGAAGGGATATGACATACCGATTACTGATCCAGAAAATCCAGTCGTCATCTAGGGTTGCAGGATTTTTTGAAGGATCGAATTAAAATATATACGAGTTAATTAAGATAATTTGTTTTTTATTAGTTGCCTCGATTTGTTTAATTCTATCGTATCTATCACTGTGGTAAAATTTAATATCTGATCGTGGACTGTCAGCGATATCTGATGGATCTCGAGCTACATGTCTTCACTCTTCCTGATCAATCGATCGCAGGAGAAAAAAATAGGAAAATGATGCTGTAATCACCTGCGGTTAAAAAGATGCACTTCAAAAACGTGATCTGTTCTGTAATCAATCATAATTTCATAATATTCTACCGATGAGGCCATAGGAATCGAGATAATGAAGAATCCATAAGCATTTATGGTGATTGGATTTTGCTGCAGAATGAACACAATATTTTTCATGAATTTTTTACTATAAAAATCTGGCCACTTGCAGGAAAAAATCGTATGCTGCATATTTTCGCTCTGGAATTAATTACAAAAACTACCAGAGATGGAGTTTTAAAAATAAATTGAAAAGTTTTACCTCTGAGATTAAGAGTGAACCGTACCATCCGTAAGCTAATTGTTGCATAAATTTAATGATTATCCAAGAAAATGCCATAATCAATTGACCCACCCCCAGCTCCGTAAGCTGTCAATAATTTTGAGTATAAAATGCCAATTGATAAAGACAATGTAATGATAAATGATCACTGAAACCTCATGCATCTGGTATATAACAGCACAAAGTATAATAGCATCAGTAAGTCTCTGTGATAGAATGATCATTGCATAAATGGGTTCTAGTTTTCGACTGTAATATATCAATCTGCAATGCTCATCGATGCACTCTCGAAGTGCTTGTAACAATTCATCATTAGAATTAGCTGTTGCCACTTTATTCGATATGATATTCAATATAATTGTAATTTGAAAAACGACAAGTCCGAAGAAACAATCATCCCCGAGAGAAGTAGAAGCTCCAACTATGAGATGCACAGTCATCACAATATACACCATGATAAAAATAATTGAATTGCTTGTGAAATTATCTGGGTATGAGCCTGGATAAGGGAACATCAATATAATCGGTCGAATATTGAATGATATCTGATAGATCATGAACATCAGAGGAATGATAACGTAATTCAGCACCAGAAGTCTATAGCATATCACATAAAATTTCATTGCTGAACCGAATAGCTTCAACGTTGCCATCTCCATCGTTATCATCGCTGTGTCATTGCAATAATTACGTAAATCCATATCCAACTGCTCATAGATCTCCATAAACGTGTCTTTACAAATGACAGTGGGTGCCAGCTTAAAATCGCAAGTGTTAGGGATGAATATCTTGGGAATCATACCAGTGGTACCTTGACTGGCAGGATCATGAGACCGATCCCTGATGCGAGATATTCTGTTACAGAAGTCACATCTGAAGCACTCGATGCCGCCACAAATATGGAATAAGATACGAGCGTACTAACGATAATAGCGTAAAACTGCAAAAAAATCTTTAACGATCTTTGAATTTTTGATTCCCGCCATATTGGACAGTACTGAAGTAATTTTTTAACTATTTCGTCGCAGGTTTCGTAATGCTTCCAAACTGAATGTGCCATCTTGAAGAACAGACTGATACTGCCCTGATGTCGTGGCCTTAACGAATTACTGGGGGTAATTCGGGGGTAATAGGTGCATAGGGAGTCATGAATAAGACACACCTCTTAATCTACCAATTTTTCAACCGATTTTTCTCCTTTTTCTGCAATGAATTATCGAGGGTAGACAATTTTTGTGATGAAGGGAGAGGGATTTGGTCGTATCACTCGGATTTTCGACGCTTCATTTGTCTCATTTCTTCTCGAATGGATTTGATACCACTGGATTGATTACCGATAATTCACTCGTCAGCGTTCTTCGCACCTCTTATTCTGTGCAACTATTGGGATTACGATCTGAACAATTGCAAGTGGAGTCTGGGTTGGAGTGCAGGATGTACATACTGCTGGTATTGCCATCCGGAGCACCGAATACAATGAAACTCCAAGTGACATTCCCAAGTGTAATCTCGGCATTCAAAGTGGGATCATACCGAACAATGCGCTCAGACTATTTTGACGGTTAAAATCGGCTGAAAAATCGTGACCATTCAAAATTCAAGTGCTGACGATTCCTAGTTTTTATTGCTATCATTTAATATGACGGATGAAGACAATTTTTTATTATATTTCTCTTTCTTTTGACCTTTCAGGCCCCAATACTCCAGGATATTCACCGCTCTGGGGATTCGGTTCATGGAGAGTCGTGCATTTTTGGGGATTAATATGTATGAGTCAGTTATTAAATCTATTTCAATGCAGAAATTTATGATTATCTGTCCAGAAATCTTTCTGCATTTCGATCTTTCCTCCATTTTTCTACTCTCAATTCCTGTGATGACACAATTTATCCCAAATTTTGGGTCCATTGTAATGTAATCTTATGACGTTCGTTTTGCAGTGAATATTTTTATTTTTAATTAATCATTTAGGAATTTTCCAAGGATTTCTGATGGTGCAGTTAAATATGTCGATGAACTTCTGTTATTTTAGGTCAGTCGGTGGCATATCGATTGCCGCATGAGAGATACTCCACAGAAATTCGACGATTGGAATTATGATAGTGGGTAAAGGAATATGACTGCCAGTGATTATCATGAACATGACCATGAACATTTAATCATTAATTTGAAAAATTCATTTTTGACGTTAATTAAATATTCATCGATTTATTTTTGTCAAAATATTCTGAGGAAGAAATTATGATGTGTCGATTGGGGCGTGACGGGTGGCGGTGGGTGGAATTTTCAATTTTCATCGGATATTTTGGAAATTTAAAAAAAAATAGCGTCTATAGGTAGTCTATAGTTTCACCGAGACAAGGACAGATGAAAGGGTTGAGGATCGATCCCCAGGGAGTTATCATTTAACCCCTTAACAAGGGCTCGTTATATCTCCCACCACCCACCGATAAACTTTTTTTCCACCGTTTATCGAAATAGTCTCCCGTTTTTTCAAACGAACTTAGCTGCATACGAAGATAAAAAAATCGTTGTCTGGCGCCGGCAAAAATTGTCAACGTCGCGACAGGTAATCGAGATCAATTTTCCCAGAAAAAAAAATTGATTTCCACAGGAGGTGCACAGTCGAGCCCTGGATTCCGTCGTGACACCGTCGTCCCGACTTCCTCGAGGAGCTCCGCCATGTGACAGGTGTCAACCGTCACCCGAGATTTAACACACCTCTGGATTGACGAGACGTGAAGTTTGTGCCAGTGTCTCAAGATATTTTTCACCGAGAATTCAAATACTTGTGTTTCGTTTCAGGAAGTTGTCGACGAACCTCTGAAAACTCAAATTCATAAACTCCAAGTGTCAAAGACAGTCGGAGATTTCAAGGATCAGGATTCAGGGATCATCAAGAATAATTAAAAAATCATCATTAAAAAAACCGAAGGAAAATACTTCAAATTAAAATAATAAACAGGGCAAGTTCCTAAAATTTCCTAAAATTTCCTAAAATTTCATAAAAATTCATAATTCTTCAGATGAATTTTCATCCCTCAAATGCAGGTCAAAATCAAAGGGTTATCGATTGCCTGGAATCGATAGAGGATTGGACCTAGACGACATCAGGGTCGCCGACATCAGTCAACCAATTATCTTATAACCGATCGTAAGAGCCACAACTTCACCCCCCAATTCTCTCCACCCCTTTACGAGTAATTCGCCCGACCAATCATCGACTGTACAAAACAATTTGAAATCACCAGCCACCGAGGAAAATTGCCTCAATGTTATTACAATAATGCCATGTAATTTCCGAAGGGAAATTTTTTTCCCTCTGATCTGAGTGCAGTCTTCTCTCGACTCTCATTGACTTCACTTCGCCTCCAGGAGCTTCTCACCACGTCCTACCTGTCAATACTCCAGTGCTCAATACTTCAAGACTTCAAGACCCTTCGATTCACCCCGAATATACGATTGCCCACACAAAGTGAATGAAATAAAATTTTTATAAAAATTCTCCACCGTCTGATTAATTTTTTACCCAACATCTTTACGCTCTCTTAACACCATTATTCACCAGTGACGTGACAATTGTTTGTTCTTTTTCCAGGCCATTCATTATCTCAAATAATTTCACCCCGACAACGAGAAATGTTTTGAATAATCAACCGAGAAAACGGAATGTGAATATCTACTGTGGAAATTATTAAACGAGAAGACGAACATCAAAAGGAGAATTAATTGTCGCAGTCGTCAGACTGAGAATTTCATTCGGAGAGCTCCAAAAACTTGGAATCACTGATGAAACACAGAGCAGGTAAATATGAAAGCATATCCTCTAATTTATCGTGATATTTGTCTGGTGTGTACACACAACCTGGCAAATTCCCCTACGTCTTGTATTTACCATTTAATCCAGATGATATCTACGGGTATTTTACGTATACTCAACATCTCTCACTTTGCCATTTCAAAATAATGTTTCCCTCTATATTAGGAGTTTAATTAAATAAGATGAGATTTATAGTGAGGCTGGAGAATGCCTTTCAGCGATTTTCGTTGGAATAAATGGCAATTTTGTGATGCTCGAGGGAGTGAGTGAACAATTAACAGTGTGAAACAACAAATAGTGCCAGTGCAAAATCATCTCAACTAGGATGAAACTACTCTTGGTCTTGTCAAAACACAAACAGTTGGATGTTTGTGTTTTGATGGACATTTGGACTCTAGCCCTCGAGGCACTTTCACCTTTACATTGCAACTCAAATTAAATCGTCTGGTGTTGAAGGAGTACAACGGATCCATCGCCAGATGCTATGAGAAAACTTTTGGGACACCGGAGCTTTAAATTTTCAGCATTTCTATCGGTATCTCCATAATTCTCATCATCAAACCCCTATTTTTAAGTATTTCTCTTCTAGTTCTAATTCATTTTTAATGAACTCTCAACCACACCCCCGCGAATCCGCAATCACAAAGCAAGCACCTCCACTTTTTCCAGCCATCCCCATCTGCAACCCAGTTTCATAAACTGTTGGTTGTCGAGACGATAAATCAGATTACACCAACATTTTGCACCATCCGCAAAGCACAACTCTCTGTACATAAAATATCCGCACCACTGCGGCAACAAAAATACACCATTTAAACACTTAAAAATAATGGACAGACTCGATAAAATAATTCTGAAATGAATTTCGCCAGTTTTTCAGATACTCTGTCATTTTTTCTTATGATAACTGAAAAAATTGTTTTTTACTGGTATGTGATGTAAAATAAAATTCTCCCGAGGAAGATTAACTGGGAGTATTTTCTCGTTGGGACAATGGTATGCAATAACCATCAAGAGATTTTCCTTTTTTCCCTGGAATATGGCGAAAAAGACTGTGAGTGATGAGTTAATATTATTTCAATGAATAACCGGGGGCTGAGTGCTCGTTAGAGAGCCGATGTGGTGCGAATGCTTGCGTTCAGTTTTCCCATTAATATCCAATTTTGTAGGATAGAATAGCCGTTCCGCTGAGGGTGGGTTAACTATACCATCTCAATCAATCGAGGTGGTTTCCTGCAGCTGAGTGATTCCACTGGCACATCCTCTCCCTTTAAACCTCCATAATTCTCAATAAAAAGTTATGAGGTCTCCATAAATAGACTTGAGAGCTTTTGCTCCGGTCTCCTGGGTATCGTCGATGTCGGGTTCATTTACCTGTCGTATCGCAACATGTGGAGAAGGGTTTAATCCATACCGATAATTATATTTTTATGAAAGGGGAATTTTCCCGGAGCTAATTTCAGCTAATTGCACTCTTAAAACCTGCGTATGCCCTTCATCTGGCCCTGGACGCCCTCCATAAGACCTCCCCAGGCCTTCATCTGGCCCTCACTACCCTCCCCAAAACCTTCCCAGGGCCTCAAGTGTCACCATATTTATGCTGAAATAACTGAAACCCTGACCCCAATCGATCGCCTTTGTGCACTCCACCAGACTAATTGCGCTCGCACTCTCTCAATAAAAAGTTATTAGATTCCCATGAATAGACGGTGCTGCGCGCCCATCTCATTGGTGACGCGCTAATTTACCCGATGCATCGGTATACAGAAAAAAAAAAGTCATAATTAAAATGAAAAAAAAAGGGATGAATGGGAATTGAAAAGTGAGGGTGGAAGAGTGGAAAGAGGGTATGCGGTGAAAACATGGGGTTGAAGTGAAGGCGTTGAAGGGAGACTCGCGAGACGAGGTCGAGAGGGTCACCACGACGCGACGCTTCTGTATACAAGATCCCCTCCATCTGGAAACTCCGGTGGAGGGACCTTGGGGTATTATAATGCATCGGAAAAGGAAAAACTTTTTCACCCTTGTTACAAACGGCCTGTGGCTCTCTCATGGAGTACCTCATCTTTTCTCACCCGGTCATGTTACGATTTAATGAGAGGGATATTGGAGATGCTTCCTGAAAAGTTCAGGATGACATCCTGAGGTGGAGAGTTTGAATGAGACATTTGTCCGATCATTAGGGTATCGCTGTTGTTTTTGTTATTGGAATCCATGAAAAGTACAGGTTATAATGCCTC